TTATCTTGACGACATCATTATTTTCACTGAGACTTTCAAAGAGCAAATAAAGTAGCTCGAACATGTGCTTATAAGAATAAAAGCCGTTGGACTTACAATCAATGGAGAGGAGAGTGAGTTCTGTCGCAAAGAGGTCCGCTATCTGGGAATCCTTGTAAAGCGTGAAGGTCTTTGCCCTGATCCAATGAAGATTGAGCTGATCGTGGCTTATCTGGTGCCCAGGAATCTAAAGCAGCTACGTTGCTTTTTAGGCATGGCTTCCTGATACCGGAAGTTTTTGCCTGATTATGCCTCTGTCACTGATCCTATGACTTAACCTTTGCGGAAAGACTGTAAGTTCGAGTGGACCGAGAAGCAACAAAATGGTATTGAGCATCCAAACAGATGCCAGTGATGTTGGACTTGGCATCGTGATTACGTAAGAGGTTGACGCGCCAGAGCAAGTGCTCGAGTACGCTTGCTGTAATTTGACGCTAGTTGAGAAAAATTACAGCGTGACTGAAAAGGAATATCTCGCTAAGCTCTAGACTATACATAAATTTTCCTCCCATGTAGAAGGGAGGCACTTCAAAGTCATAACGGACCACAGTAGCATTTGTTGGCTGCGTAATATGCACAATTCAACCGGACAACTTTCGCGCTGGGCGCTACAGCTGCAGAACTATGATTTTGAGTTAGAGCATCGAAAAGACGCACAGTGCGGCTGATTCCCAAAAAACTGGCCAAAAGTAAAATAGCGTATATTATTCAACATAATCAAGATGCATGTCAATTTATAGGTTTTAGGGGTCGCTGATTACGAATTTGATATTAAAAATTTGAAAAGCCACCCCCTTTTACCCCTATTGGCCACCCCCTCGCGTGAAATAGCGTATATTATTCAACATAATCAAGATGCATGTCAATTTATAGGTTTTTGGGGTCGCTGATTACAGATTTGATATTAAAATATGAATTTTAAAAATGGTGGATCAAATATGGCTGACATGATATTAAATGCAGATCAAAATTTAAATTCAAAAAAACTTATTTACAGAAACTTAGTATCATAATGTAAAATTAATAGGAATGTACTTTTTTCATGGCATATTAATAATAACACACTAATTTTTATAAGAAAAAATCAGCCATGTCATCCGACGGCATATTTTCGGAGGCATCACTGTCTTCCGACGTCGAGCACTCCGATCCATCATATTGTAAATTTTTCAAAATATTTGTTGGTGTTACATCTGGAGGCAAAAGTAATTCGATGACTTCGCTTGACAACGATTTCAAAAGCAAAATTATCATTTGTAATATCAGTACGACTTTGAAGAATATCAGGTGTCAAAACAATCTATTCGAAATGCCCGCCAAACTCCTCAACCTGCCATGCGCAAGCGTTGCCAGCGTTGAGAAAAGATCATACGAAAATGAAACTATGTATCTATATATTGCTTCCATGTCTGTATGCGATATATACAGATATACCATCGTGCATTGAGGATTATTTCGGTGAGCACGCTGCTTTACACCAGGTAGTCAGACACATTGAAAAAAACAATTTTTTCAATATCTTAGCTTTCGTTTTTTATTGAATCGTTCTCCTAAAAAACGGGGTTTTTTTTTCAAAATCTTCTTAAAAAAAGCAGGCAAGTTCGGGCAGCTAAATCTTGTTTTATTCTGTAACTAATACCTCAAAAAATAACCTCCAGCAAGTTTCAGAGCGGAACCTTGTGGAACTTTTTTCTATTCGCATGATGACTTACACAGATTATTTGATTTTAGGCGATAGAAATTAGTAATAATCTTGGTGTCACTAAAATTTTTGGCATGGGAAATCACTCTTTGTTATTTTCTTTTACATTCTACTTACCTTCAGAAGTAGATTCCATTTTTGGTATGGCTATCCACGACGATCTTAATTTCTTACACAATGTTTAAACAACACTCTGTTAAATGCACTTTTGCGAGAACAATTTGACAAATCAAAGCAGCTATCATTGCGACTGTTGTTTTGGAGAAAGTACGAGAAAAGAAACAACGCTATGTGTGATTTCTGGTGGCTGTGGGTGTACTGAAGCCAACTGAACAAAAAAAAAATCACTAGAAGAAAATTTTTTTTTTCACTTTTGGCCAGCTTTTTGGGAATCGGCCGCACTGTGAGACGCCAGGAATAACGTGCCTGATGCGCTTTTGCGATTATACAAAGGAGACAAAGATCTTTCTGTAAGAGCAGTGAATTTTAGGAATACGACACAAGATGCCTAGTACAGCGCCTGGTTAGAAAAACTTAGTCACTCTCCTACCTATTTTCCGCGCTGGAAAGTCGTCGGTGGACAGCTCTACGTGTACCACCCTGACCCAAGAATTGACGATACCCTGAGTAATACATATACGTGGAAGCTTGTTGTACCCCAGGAGGTGAGAAAGGAAGTGTTGCTAGAGTGTCATGACAAGTGGCCAGCAGGCCACCTTAGTCGCGAAAAGACCTTCGCTCGCCTGGCCTGACACTACTACTGGCCTAAATATTATCAAAGCACAGGTATGCACGTCACAAAGTGCTAAGTTTGCCAGTAGCTTAAAGTAGAACAAAAGTTGCCAGCCGGGCTGATAGGCAGACGCATCATGCCCAGCCCGTGGCAAATAGTTTCAGCAGATATCGTGGGCCCATTGCCGCGCAGCCTACATGGATACGAGTATATTTTGATTTTTGAAGATCTGTTCACTAGGTGGATCAAGTGTGTACCCCTGCGAAAAGCTAATGCGAAGGCTGTTCTAAGCACCTTCGAAGAAAAGATTGTTTGGCGATTTGGTGCGCATCTGGAGATCCTCACCAATAATAAAATGGAGTTTAAAAACCACCTAATCGACGACTACTTACAGGAATGGAGTATTGCACACTACTTAACACCTGAATACCATCCCCAGGCATGCCCAGTGGAACGAGTCAACAGGGTCTTTAAAACAATGATTAAGTCTTTCATCAAAAATGACCACCGTACCTGGGACACAAAGCTTGCAGAGATCGTATTTGCCTACAATACAAGCAAACATCAATCCACGGGCTCGAGCCCTGCCATGCTCAAATACGGCCACAAACCACTCGCTCCAAATGCTTTTAAGCTACGAGCAAATAATACGGCAATAAACTCCCTACGGCAGGCCATTGATGAGTGGAAGGATCGAATCACACGCGTTCCACTCTTGCATGAAGAAGCCTATGAGGCTGCAAGACGAGCCCAAGAGCCACAAGCTGAGTATCACAATGCGCATCGGCGTGATGTACAGTGACAAGCAGGTGATAAAGTCTGGAAGAAAAATCTAGTTTTGTCCTCGGTTACTAAGAACTTTGCCGCTAAACTGGCACAATATTCGTCGGACCATACACTATCCTTAAGAATACGGGCTTCAACTCGTACGAGTTAATGAACGCTGAAGGTGTGAAAGAAGGCCCTGTCCACGTGCAACCGCTGAAAGCCTACTTGTCGGACGAATGTACCTCAGAAAGCGAAGAAGACGACAAAGCTGCAAAACTTTCCCTACCAGCGTTGGAGAGCGAAAAATCAGCGGAGCACGACCCGCTGGAATCAAGTGTAACTGTGGAAAGTATTTGCGATGATGAGTCTGTAAAGAGAGGTAAGGGCCATCTGCAAAAGAGGCCTCTCGCAACCTAGAGGGCCAATATCCCGTCTTCGAATGACATTGTAAGGCCTAGCGAGGCTACGGAATCGGTCAAATGGAGGCATGGACGTCAACCTAGACACCCAAGCGTACAGGCCAACGGACCGTCAAATCTTGAGAAAAAATAGATTACCCGCTGCGGGTTGATGCGTTAGAAAAGTGCAAGTGTGGGTGCCCAAACTAAGCCGTTGCGTTAGCCTGTCAGCTGAGCGTTCCAATCCTTTTTTTTAATTTACATTATTTAATTTATTATTTTTTTTTATCCCTCATGTGATATTTTATCAACTAATAACTTCACTTCTTTCCATTTTTAGTTTAATCCATTTCTCGTTAACCTCTTTCAGTGATGAACCAAGCCCCTGAGAATAAGATAGAAGAACGGCTGAGAGGCTTGCAATTGGACAAACAAAAGAAGCCCGCAGATATGACGGCGTCCTCCAACCCCATCCCCAATGAGCTGGTGACCAGAGACTGGATAACGAAAGCAGATAATCTTGCGGCCTGCCTCGCTCACCTAGGGCCATTCTGGCCGAATTACTGGCTAGTCGGGGAAGTAGTATGCTGTCACGTGGAAGAAGGGCAGTACCAAGGACGCCACTACTACGGTGAAACTTGACGACGCAACAAGTAAACGTCAAGCTATTGAGCCTATGGAACTCGCCCCTGCAGAAGATAGCTCTCCCGCCTTCGAGGACGCGAAGGCCATTCTGGTCAAAAAGGATGTGTCAAGGCACACGACCGTGCAATAGTCAAGGAGAGGAAAGATCAAAGTAGAAGCGAGCCTCTCACGCAGCGCCTCAGTGGTGTACTGCCGAAAAAACTGGAGGGTGTAAAGCGCACGGTTGACCTTTTTAGTCCCGGCAGTGAAATGTGGCTGCCACGTGAGCTTCGAGTCAAGAATGACAACTAGGCTCGTGACGGTCTCTGAGAGCGGGACAGACACCCCCCCGCCCAGACCAACACTAGGAAGATCTTGAGCTGTAAGCTCATTGATGTTACGATTGCTGCCAAATAAGATAGTATAGGTCTCCCCAGCATTGAGCCGGAGGCAGATGCCCCCCGCCCAGCACGCGACCGCTTGCGCCGCTCGCTCCAGCCTCTCCACCCAGTGACCCTCTGGGCACCGTGGTGTAAACCTGCAGGTCATCGGCGTACATGATATACTCAACGCCAATCGGAGAAAGTACGTCTCGTATATCGTTGACGTAAAGGCAGAACAACAAGGGACCCAGAACCGAGCCCTGCGGGACACCAAAATTAGTGCCGATCCACGAAGAGCTACCACTAGCTCGAGTTTTCACGTACTGCTCTCTATTTGAGAGATATGAGGCGACCTATGAGAGCGCAGCCCTGGAGAATCCCGTCCGCCTCAGCCTCTCTAGAAGATGAGTGGATGAGACAGTGTCGAATGCCCTACTAAAGTCAAACTGTAACAGTAGCGTCATGTGTTTCTTGTCAATATTCAGTCTTTCGTCTTCTGTCAGCTTCAAGAGTGCAGTCTGCGTAGAGTTATGTCGTCTGAAGCCCGTCTGCAGGGGATTAAGAAGTCCCTCATTGGTCAGGTACTCAGAAATCTGGTCGTGAGCAAGTCTCTCGAGCACTTTTGACAGCATGCAGAGCAATGAGACAGGTCGGAAGTCCAAGGGGGACAAGGGAGCCGCGCGCTTCTTGAGTGGCATTACACAAGCTCGCTTCTAGAGAGCCGGAAAATCACTTTTGGCGAATGAGGAATTGAACAGCCTAACCAGACGCGGCCCTATTATGGGTAGGGCTTTGATCAGGATGCTGTGCAGGAAGCCGTCTTCACCACACGTCTGCGAGGTGAAGTGGGAAAATGCCGAGATGACATCTATAATGTTTACAGGCTTAAGGGTAAAGCCCACCTCACTCGCAGATGCTATGATGTTCTCGCAGGCCCGTGGATCCTCATCGGTGGATATTGAGATCTCTGCAAAGCATCCATTAATTTCGTCCGGTGTGAAGCCGCCCAAGTCCTCCTTTTTCCCCAGCAGCAGTCCTAAGCTACGCAGCTGCCGCCAGATATTACTTGTGCCGTCCACCTCATTAATCCTGCCCTGATCATATTGACCACGCGACTCAGATGTTAAGCGATCAGCTGTCTCACGAAGTATTAAGAACTCCTGGAGGAACTTCGAATCACCGGTGTGTCTGTATCGTCTGTAGGTCGCGTCGCGTTTGTGGTACATATGCAAGAGCTCGCCACCAACCCACGGCTGCCTGCTTTTGCGCGGAACAACACGTTTAAGTGGCGCTGATTCGTTCACTGCCTCCGTTAGGTTCGTGACGATGCACTGCAGTGCCCGGTCCGGATTTGTTACTGTCTCGTCCGCTGGCCCCCAATCACAGCCGCCCAACACCTCACACAGATCCTCCGATGACACGCTCCGGATTTTTCGGCAATAGAATACTCCGGAGTTTCGTGACTCTTCAGTCTTACTCAGAGCAACATTGATGATGTGGTGGCGACTGGGAAAGTTGGCAGGAAAGTTACGTGCGTCTAGTACGTCCTCGTTATCGTCTACAACAAGCAAGTCAAGCCTAGTGGCAGTAGTCCCGGTAAAATGTGTCGGTCCATGTGGAATCAAACGGAGGGCCAACTCATCTGCGAGCTTGTCAACGGACTTCGGGTCCTCAGGATTTGAATGCGGATCTGCATTGAAGTCACCCATAATAATTTTCATGTTGAAGCTTAGACAGTGGGCACGAAGTTTGCTGACGAAGTTTTTGGCATGAAACGGCACGTGAGGAGGACGATATACAACACAGGCAAAAATTGGTACAGTTGCACCCCTCTGCAGCTTGCACATAATAAATTCTGTCTCACGTGAGCAGCCCCGTGAACACCGCTTTCATCGATGGCATCGCAATTTATGAAACCTGATATGATTACTTCGCGCCTGCCAGCGCCGGCACGCCCTATCGCCGAGCGCTCCGTAGGATTTGACTCCAGCGCAAAGTCCCGTGGAGGAAGCCGCGCCGTCCCCACCGAGCACGCAGATGTTGGTTGACCCGCATCACGCGCCCCGAGCCCGACAGCATCAACGATCGCCCGTCTCAATTTAACGTTTTCTTCTGATAGCGCTGCGATGCTAGATAATTGCTTATCGAGAAGCAAATTGACGTGCGTCAACTGACTCTGGAGAAACGTGACTTTATCGTTAAGATCACGATTCGCTTTCAAGATGACGTCCAGCTTGTCCAGCTCTCTGGTGATGAGATCAAGCTTACTTCCGATGTCAATCGTGGGGCTCAACGGCGATTTAGGCATTCCACGCAAGATATTTTCGCGGTCGGACTCTTCAATCACTCCGCTTATGCTCGTACGATTATCGGCACGTAGAGAGAATTGAATTGAATTGAATAGTTGAATTGAATAATTGAATTGAATAGAGAGAGAGAGAGAGAGAGAGAGAGATGACGCTGTACGCTTGTCTACAGGCGATGGTAGTGCCTGTGTGTGCCACAATATTATTGTTTCCGTATAGAGCAGTATCAGCTTCGGTGCCAGCTCGACGCTGCGCGGCAGTTGGAAGGGGGGCGGTTGACGTGCTCGACAGTATCGCTGTGGGGACAGATGATTTTTGCGCAGAGAGAGAGAGAGAAAGGAGAGACAAGTTTCTTGTGATGCGTATTAGCGCGAAACGCTCTGGGCCATTGGGTCAGAAGAAATTAGGTATAGGTAAGAAAACACGTGCGTGTCTTGCCCGCAAGCACATCAAGTCATCAAGGGACAGCCTTCCCATCGCCTTGTCAGTGCCTACCTTACGTCTGCGAACAAACGACTCGCTAGCAAGATACCCGGCCGAGAATTTCTGTTGAGAGACCATCTACTTGGCCAACAAACGTAAACACGGAGCTACGAAAAGCCTACAGGTAAGCGCAGAGCGTGCGTGAAAATCGTTATAACCACGTAATCTCTCTCTGTGCCCAGTTAAATTGTTGCGTGCCGTTGGCTTGGAGAGAAAAACCTTCCCCAGCCGTACGTGCCTTACTGGTAATGCGATCTAGCGAAAAACAGTTACACATGCACACAGATACTTTTGTTCCAGTGCAATTAATAAAGTTTCCGTTCTTATGGTCACTAAATGTTTGTGTCTTGCTTTACGTGAACCTTTCTCTGCATGAAGCCCTACCAGCTACTTTTTATTTACAGACTTTATTTAGAGATCGTGACGTCCAAAAGGGCGTCCTTATCCTGCCACATCCACAGGTTCGTGCGTGTAAACCGATGCGCGAGCATCCTGAGTTAAGCCAGAGCTAAGCTGGCCTCTCAGAAAACAGACGAGAGTAAGGGAAAGCAGACTCGTTGTCCATATTGTAATGTGATTGGGTACCCGGGAAGCACAGTCCCGGTCAGAGTGCTCCTCGCATTAATTAGTAGTTTAAAGAGCCATAAGTAAGTATAGACACCCTGTTACAATTTGTATACAAGAAGTTATCGGAAATTATACAAGTCTAGTCAAGTCAAGACTGTTTTCGTTTGACTGCAACGCGTTGCAGAACTCTTTCTTCCTCACCAAGAAAGCTTTTTTATGTGAAACATCTATTAGCACCCTTGGGGGTCTGACCAACACGATGAAGTGACCTGTGCGATGGCACAATATCCCGTTAAACTAGGCTCGGCTTGGCTTGGCTCGGCTCGGCTCTCTGTCTCTTTCTCCGGGTTCTTACTGCTGCCCCTCTCTCATTTGTAAAATGTGTTACCCGTATATATAGCTGTATAAAAGACTATTTAATAATTAAATATATTTTTATAGTGCATGTAGCATATACATACGAACGCATATATTTTGTGTATTATATATTATACACGTGTAAATAACATTTTCAAATTTTACTGACTCCGAGAATTAAACCACATCCTTTGGATTGGTATTCGAGGACCTTATCGATTGTGCTACGCAGCACGCTTATCCAATTTTTGATTTTATTATTTATGGACACCAACCAAGAAACTTCTGAGTTATAAGATTGATCTAAAATAGGGCGTTTTTTATATTATGTATAAGCCCACCGATTTCAAAATATTAGTTATGATTTATTTTGAGTGGTCTAATAATATTAAAATTGTGTAAAACTGTGTCTTAAAGTTCGTTATGCTTATGTCTTTTATTGGTTTGACGTACAGAAAAAATAAAAATACCAGCATGTAGGGTGAAAACTTCTCTAGCAATAAGCACTTTTAATTGTGTTTCAACAAGTGCAAAATGTTAAGAAAAAAAAAGATAAAAGCATTTTGGCAGTACCTGTAAAAAGGAGTTAGATAGAGAGAGCCATTGATCGTCTACTGTCGCACTGGCTCTCTCTCTCTCTCTCTCTCTCTCTCTATCTCTCTCTCTTTATTGTACTTATACCGGTAGGCCTTTTTCATTGGTTTCTTAAAAAATATTTTGCGCTTGTAGAAATGATACATTATTATAAGAATTAGTATCTTTTTTTTATATTTTCAAAAAACTTCTTCTTTGTGAACAGGATTATTTTAAAATATCAGTATTTGACCATAATGTAAAGTTTTCCGGGATCTTCCAATTGCGTTTATTCAATTTCCATCTTCACCCGTCTTTAGTAAAGAGCCAACGAAATTCGGGCACGTGCGCAACTACGCACAGTAAACAGGTATCTGAAAAAAGACAGAGAGACAGAGACAGTAATACACACGAACGTTTGTTAAACTAATGTATGTACCTATGTTTAGGTAGGTAGTAAAGATACTCTTCACCGTGTTTTGTTTTTCTTTCTTGTTCTCGTTGTTTATATGTTAATGAACGAAAAAAAAATTACAAACATAATTTGTTTTTTTCTTTTCTATAGTATTGACTGATAAAAATACATATTTGTAAATAAACTGTCTTTTTAATATAAAAATTTTAAATGAAGATTATTTCGAGTCAAAAAAATGAACACTTTCTCTACCTCCCGCGTTTTTGAGACGCTGGTGTGCGCTCGGTAGAAAAAAATAGGATTCGCCACATAAGCACCATTGCTCCGTGGCTGCCTTATGTCCTTCAAGCCCTGTTTCGCAGGCCCCTCAGGCCGCAAAATATCTCTAGAGATGATAGTGCTTATTTGACGAAAACTACCATTTATATCATAGGTAGTATAATACTACCTAGTTTAATAACATTTTCCTTAATATTTCACATCTGTCAGGGGTCCTGAGACCCACACCTATTTTTTTTTCTTGTACTGGCGATGACATTGATTTAGGAACAACATATTCTCAAGATCTTGAGTAATTCATCTTGACAATATGAGTTTATTTGATGGAAATAGTATTTTGTGATTTTTTTGGACTCCTTTTATATTACATCGCTCACAGCTGTGTCCTTTCACACATTTTAAAAACACTGGTGCCATCTTATTGCAAGTAAAACACTTTACATTCACTTTGAATTTAAGACTGTTAATAGTTATTGCACAACTTAACAATGTATTGAGTTCGTTAACGAAATCTTGCAAGTCAATTTGAACAGCTTTTTGCTTACCCATGCCATTGTAAAAACCTACAATGAAAAGTGCGCATGAACAAGGCGTAGCAGAAGTTTACATAAGATGGGCCAGAATTCTGTAGCATCACGTTCAATAATTGAAATCCCATAAATATTAAAAATGTGAATTCATTTCATTGGAACTACAATGATCAATATTAATTGTTTTT